TATCTAGTCCAGTAGTCAACTATCTACCCTAACAGACATTTTTCTAGTATTAGTCCAACTCTTCCTTACTACTAATTAAGCTCTATCTACTACTGATGCAGGAACAAAATTGCTTCTTTCCTTTACACACAGTTTTATGCCTCATATACCTGATATTTAAAAAGTTTTGTAAATATCACCGTGTGATGTTGCATTACTGCACAAAAGGCAAACACTCCCCTTCAGCTTGTAGTGCAGTAGAACCCAAGAGCTTACTTGGAGGCATCCCATGTTTTGTCAGTTATTTTCCTTGAGAAGTATTAATATTTTGCACTTATTCCTAGAAAGGAAAAAACAGTCTCCTTTTTCTAGAGAACTCTCTGATTTGTTAGGATCATTATGCACCCTAACTCTGCCTCCCAGCAGTCTCGGAATCTTTTGATTACTGCCAATTTACTCATCACTCCCTACTCAATACAGGTCACGTGTGTTGAACAAAACTAGCCACAGGACAGATCTCAAAAGTAAAATATCTTTCCACTTTGACAAAAGGACATCAATTAGTCGGTAAACACTATCTGAAAATGCTTTTCGAAGTACTTTGGCATTCAGCTTATAGCTGTTTTGGCTAGCCAAGTTTCCAAAACATGAAAGACACTATCAAAAGCTACAGCCCAAACATCTGCTTTTCTTCTATCCATGGGGCCCATAACTCTCATGTATAGCTTTTTCTTCACATGACTTATTCTTTAAAAGTCCAAGTTGGCTACTCATCTTTATGCCATTTTCTTCCAGGTGCTTAAAATGCTTCCCCCACTCACCAAAACCTTTTCTTTTAAGTGCGGTTAAGCTTATTTTGTATTATTTCCCATCACTCACACTCTCCATCTGAATTTAAAGAGAGATGAGATACTGGAAGGCTGAATATAGTAAACATATTACCTAACATCCAGGATCTGTCAGAAATATCTAAAAGTTCTGAAATTGTTTCAGCCTGTCTACTAAGTAACATAAAAAAAGTTTAACTTTCACAGTTTACTTTAGAATAACACAACTAGTCTGAATTCTTTCAAAATGTTTCTTTCTCCGCTTCCAGCTAAGAGCATAAAACTTCCACCACCAACAAAGGGATACTAGTCCCCACATCAACACTGATCTCTGTATTGAAAACTGATACCAAAGAAGGAAATTACAAATGTCAGTCTCTCACAAGCATAAAGCAGCGGATGATACCATATTGATCTGATTTACTCACAGCTAAATACTGTTTCTTCCAGGCTGCAGGTAGAACACTCTAAAGAGTTTTGACATTTATAGAACCCATATGGGATAGTCACATGATGAAGTGTGACTCCATCTTATACCTGAAGAACATTAGTAACTAAACTGATATCACCAAACAGGAGCTCGGCAAGTTGCCTGATAGATTCAAGATATCAAGATATCAAGATAGATATCAGAACACAGGCCCTCACATCTGTATCACCATTTAGAACATGGTACAAGTCAGACATCCTTGACTCCCATTATAGTGCCATAGTTGTTGCTCTAAAATGAGCTCATGGTCTCAGTCCAGTTCATAGCTGAAAGGCATCCCTGTCAAACAAAAAAGACACTGGAACAATTAGTTCTTATGAAAAAACCCAAATCACCTAGAAACTCTCATATTCCTACTAGCCTCTTCCCATGAAACACCATCCTTTATGAAGAGTTTGATGCATTAGTTGTATTTTTTGCTGTCACTAAAATCCAGATTTTTCCAGAATTCTCCAATTACTAGTATAGCTGAAAAACCTCAATGTGACTGCAGAGCATTACAAAATGTTCTCCTTCTGAGTTTTTACAAATGTTCCAATTTTTCTTATAACTTTTCTTCAATCTTCTTTACCACGTTCTGGAAGAAAAATATTCTAAGCAAACGCAATGTTGAGAAGTGGAAATTAGAAACTCTGAAAATAGGCCAGAGTTACTGCTGCAACCCTATTTGTGAGAAAAAAATGTAGTGTTGTAGGAAAGATACAATAATCGCATTCACAAAAAGACAAGATGAGCGGGACTAAGACTGAAGAGAGAGCTTTGGCTGAAACTCAGGACTAAAAGAAGAGTTTTTGACCTCTGGAAGAAGTGGCAGGCAACATAGGAGGAGTACAAGGATGTCAAGGGGTTATGCAGGGAGAAAATTAGAAAGGCCAAAGCCCACACAGAACTTAATCTGGACATTGCTGTAAAAGACAATTAAAAGTGTTTCTATAAATACATTACGAACAAAGGAGGGGCTAAGAAGAATCTCCATCCTTTAGTGGATCTGGGGGGTAACACAGTGACAAAGTATGAGGAAAAGACTGAGGTACTTCATGTCTTCTTTGCCTCGTTCTCTTATAACAGGACCAGTTTTTCTGTGGGTACCCACCACTCTGAGCTGCAAAGTAGGGATGGGGAGCAGAATGTTTAGATCTGCTGGAGGGTGGGAAGGCTCTGCAGGGGGATCTGGACAGGCTGGATTCATGAGCAGAGACCAACTGTGTAAGGTCAAGTGCTTGATCTTGCCTTTGGGTCACAACTATCCCAGGCAGCACTACAGGCTGGGGGCAGTGGCTGCAAAAACTGCTTGGCAGGAAAGGACCTGGGGGTGCTGGTTAACAGCAGCTGAACAAGAGCCAGCAGTGCGCACAGGTGGACAAGAGGGCCTACAAGAAGCAGCTGAGGAGCTGGGGTTGTTTAGCCTGGAGAACAAGGAGGTTCAGGGGTGACCTTATTGCTCTCTACGACTACCTGAAAAGATTTTGCAGCCAGGTGGAGGTAAAGAGACAGGATGAGAGAAAACAGCATCAAGTTGCACCAGAGGAGATTGGGTATTAGGAAAAATGTCTTCACTGAAAGAGTGGTCAAGCACTGGAACAGGCTGCCCAGGGAAGCAGTGGGGTCACCGTCCACTGTCCCTGGAGGTATTTAAAAGACATGTACATGTGGCAGTGAGGGACATGGTTTAGTGGTGGGCTTGGCAGTGTTAGGTTGACAGTTGGATTCGATGGTCTTGTAGGTCTTGTCCAGCCAAAATGATTCTTTGATTCTGTTACTGTTCCACAATTTGCAGGAGTCTGGAAAATGCATTGGGGGAGGCAGGAAAGAAACCAGAGTGTTTGTTCTTTCTTATCTATTTTTCATCTTAACTCATTCAGGTATAAGATCACTTAAGGGTTCATACATGTATATACTAACTTTCAAAAGCTACACAAGTTATTTATCTCCTCTTGACTATATTGACTAGGCATCATCAATCAGATATTATACTGAAGCCTACAGAGAAGCCGTGGATTCAGTATTTTCTCCATCAAGAGAGCCAGAAAATCAAACCTCTCCACTTCAATCCGACTCTTTTTATTTCACTTGGAAGCAGGCCAAATTTCTGGTTTTAATCACAAAAAGATGTGTTCCCATAAGCTCTGCTTTACCTTTACCACAGTGTTTCAGTTTTGTTTTTAATCTCCCACTCCACAATTTTGTTCAGTTGAACCTTGAAGATATGAACACAAAACACAGATGGACATTGTCACTAGTTACTGAAGTTTTCTTTCAGTCACTGAAATATTCCTATTACTTTTCCAAGTCCCTACACTAGAGGCCACCTGCTGTTACCTACAGAGAACAGCAGACAGCTGCAGAAAGTATCAAGCTTTCTTTAACTGAAAATGGGATTCCTGTAAAGCATAGCAATACCTCTTCTTTCCACACTGACAGTGCTCAGTAGAAATTTTTCCTTGGGTGACCGAGAAGCCTCCAACCCACATCCAAAATGAACCAATCTCCAGCTGTGTATTCTGCAATCTTCCTACCCAGCATGCGTCTTATTTCTGGGTGGTCTGTCTTCTGCTCTGCGTTTGTTTTCCTTGTTCTCTCTGTGCCTCATACCCTGGCAGATAACCGTACCAGACTAAGCTTGTAGCCTGTGACTAAAGAAACATAAGTGATGTTCATTCAGGCTTCTTTGTTGCAGACACAGTCACTGTTCTTAGTTCTGGGAAAGTAAAACTATCTTCTACCTTGCAATTATGTCTGTTTTATCTGTTGTTTCAAGTCACATCATCTGGCGGGCAATTATAACGAAATGCACTGCACAGACCACAGGCACTGAACCATGCCTTTAAAACCACTGTTTAAGAGCATGCTCCATTTAGAACCAGCTGCAAATTTGGGAGGTTGAAGCTGAACTGCAGTGGAACAAGCACTGAGCCAGAGAATCTTGATTATATTCAGATGCATTAAAAATTTGATCTGTGTATCCAGTTATTTACTTACATAACATCAGTGCTCCCCCTTGAAGGTAAGCATGTGTCTCATCAAAACCAGAGTGACCAAAGGACAAGTGCTTCTAAAAGACTGGAAACACTGCAGTTATGAGCCTCATAAAACAACTTAAACAACCTTAAATCATAATGATAAACATGTAAGATGAACAGATGCAAAACTGTCACACTGCATATAAGAATGAGAGAGTAGAAGTGACATCCCGAGAGCAGATGACTAAAATCTAGCTTAGAAATCTGATAAAGTATGTGACCAGTAATGCTTACTTCACAATGACGTGAATAAATTACTTTTCTCACTGAAAATTATTACACTGACTGAAATAGTGATTCAAACACACGTGGCTTGCAAAAAAAAAAAAAAAGATATTTACCTTTCCTTCCTCCAAAATGCAATACATTACTTGAATGAAACGTATCAGTAACATTCAATCTTTTCAAATTAAGAGAAATTAAGTTGGAACTTTGCCCCTCATACAAAAGAGCAGCAGCTTCAAAAGTAAGTTTTCTTGGCTACTAATAAGAGTATGCTGTTTGCATATAATACAAGTTCAAGGAAAATGAGGTTTCTTGTCCCTGATATTAAAAAAAGAAAATAAAAAATATCATTATCCAACAGCAAAAAAGAGAGCTGAAATTGTACAGTCATGGTATGGCATCTCAAGTCTGGATGTAGAACATCCATGCACACAAGAAAAAGCTCCACAAATGGCATAGAATTAAAATAATTTTGTAGAAAATAAGTTTTATTTGGCTCCTTTTGTACACTTTTTCTTAAAAAAAAAAATGCACATTCATACAGTTTGCCTTTCCCAGTGCACGTCTGGATTTGCTCACATAGAGCCATTAATATCAAGGCAAAAGGTGCCTTTGAAATAATTTCAGACACATGGTATTTCAGCTGTGAAACATCCAAAGTTACTAATTTTCTGATTATAACCTGGAAATATTGTTTCAGGTGTTTCTTCTCTGATTCACACATGTAATTGTGCCACACAGGGAAGAGGAGACAGACCTGCAACAAAGAACTGTCAAGTCAATGGCAAATACTCATTTTAGGTAGAGCTAAAGGTAACTTCATACTGAGTTGGGATATAAAAGAAATACTCAGCTAGGTAACTTCTCTTTTTCAAAAGCTCTACATCAGAAATGATAAAACATTGCTGGAGTACTACAAATCAGCCATTGGTAGCGAGAGTTTGTTTGCAGAGGAAGCACTCCTTCTGTAGTTGTTTCTCATGGCCAGGTCTCTTTGCTGTTGTTGATGGTGACTATGGAACTTGTTTCTTCCTGTTTCTTCTTAAACATTTCATGAAGAGAAGTAAATTCAGCTTGAGCTTTCACACACCACAAGAGGTACTAACCCATCAAGTAGCCCCTACAGAAAACAAAATAAGTCAGAAAAAGAGCAAACACAGGCCGCACTCCTCAAAAATCAAGAGATACACAACCTCAAAACAAAACTGTAGACTGCCAAAACAACTGCTGACGAGGGCTATTTGGCCATCTTAACTACACACTCCTTCCTCAGTTGATTTCCTTCAGTGAACACTGAAAATGGATGAGCCTATTCTAAATCCAACTTTGATAATTGTTTGGAATTTCTGAAGCCCACGCTACACCCTATGAAAGGTTCTTTATTTGTACCCTTTACACAAACTACTACTGTTAAGGTATTCAATATAACCTGATCTTTTCTGGCATTCAACACAAATCTGTTCTCTTTTTCTCTTCCATTTCTCTGAAGTCCTGTTTCTTTAATGAATTTCAGAAAGAGACCTCTTAAGACACGTGTACTCAATGAAACAAAAAAATATATCATCATAGCATCATAGCAAAATATAGCATCAATGAAGCAAGACAATACAGGTTCCTATCCAGGTCTCTGCTGCCAGGGTTCACTTCTGTGTTAGGAAAGAAAACTTTTAACTATGCTGCAGAGGCACAAAAAGGAAGAATGACTGTCACTATTAAGTCAACCCTTCATGGAGTTGCTCCAAAAATTAGGTACCAGTACCCTCAGACATCAGGTTTCAGCTATTCTAAATTAAACAGATGGACTGAAAAATAAAAAGGGGGGAAGAAATTGGAAAACCTGCATTTGGATATTTGGATTTTGCATAGTCTGAAAGCTCCAGATCTTTTCTACTGTTTGATCTGTGAATACAGATGCATTACAACACCATATACATTGCAGGCTCTAATGTTCTATTCAGTTTTCCAGCAACAACAACAACGAAAACCCAGACATCATCTTTACTTTAGGACTGCTTTGAACGTTTTTGAACACTCATTACTGCTACCATCAATTATTCTAGTTATGATCTCTCAGGTACACTGTCCCTATAAAGAACTCACCTTTCTCTGACACTTTCTTCTTCCTCAAAGCACTCATTTGTAACTACTTTTACCTGACCAGTACATATAATGAATTTTCAGGTACACTGACCAAGTCAGACTCACTAATTGTATTTTTTTACTTACCAGGAACTGTCACCCTTTTTTAATCACAGCACAATCTTACAGTAGCTGGCTCCCAAAGCATCCCACCTCACTCAAGGTGTTCCAAAAAAAGTGTTGAAGAGAGAAACTTATAGTCAAGCTAAAGATCACTGTACTTGCTGTTACTCTTAAATTTAACATGGCACACATGAGCCCACAAGGAGAAGAAAAGCTGAAAGATAATTCAATCACTTACGGTAATTTCATCCTCATGAAAACTCTGGCCATGAAGAAGCTCAAAAGCACGCTGACAAATCCAATAAAGAGCAAAAGAAATCTATTCAACTTGGGGATATTTGGTGCATTGGATCGATCCAGAATTATGAATCCTAGGCCACCCATTGTGAAGAGGAAGCTGGATGCGAGGCCTTCCATAATATACTGTCCATTTACTCTAAAAGAAAAAAAAAAAAGGGTGAAGGGAAGAAGAGAAGTCCAAAAAAGATTAAAGAAATTATTTACATTTCAGCTTTACATTTTTGACCTGCTTTTGCTGTACAAACACAGAGGATGATTCACTTTGATGGCTGACTTTCTAACTAAACGTAATCAGGAAACCAAGTTATACAATTACATCAAGACTTCACTATGTAACTTATCTCCAGGGCTGACAAGTCTGCAAGGTGACCAGTCAAACACACCAGTGGATTTACACATAGCAGTGAACACTAATGGCTACTGCACAGGCTCATCAGTTTTCAGAAATATCTGTTCCAAGCAAGTCCCTGGTTAAACAGATGGCTCAGGGCACAGAACCACAACCTTCCTATTTCCATCCTGCCGTTTAGGCAGATCGCCTGAGTCCTCACCCCTGGACAAATCCCACTCAGAGCAGTGTGTCAGCACATGAAGCACATGCCGGTGCCAGCACACAGCAATTCCTGCCTGCAGGATATTCTGCTCACTGAGCCTGCACATATCCATTGCAGGGACCCATCCTGAAGGTGTCCCGGTTCTCTGTCAGTCCAGACAGGCAGAATTCCTTCTGACAAAGCTCAGGTGGAGAGAGGGGACAACGAGGTGCAGAAAGATCACATATTGCACCTGGATCACAATCTCCTGCTTCCCACAGTCACCAAACCATTTTCCTATCCTTGTAATTAGCAATACTAGCAATCTCATAGAACTGGCACTGATGAAACTGCTGTGCGTGCCAATACAGAAACAGAGATTACCATTAATGCCTCATATCCTGAAAACAAACAAGTTGGTCTTCTTTCATGTTGTTTACACTGACTTGTGCTAAAGGGCAAGCAACTCCCTGCAGAAGCCAGATTCTTCTGCGCTGGAACAACCCAAGCCAGTCTGAAATACATACTGTATCTAGTCCAAGTCAAATTCTGTACATCAAGCATGCCGCAGACCTCACAGATTTAAACAACTTTTTTGGCATTTAACAAAAATCCCTATTTGTTTCCACACACATAGAATACCCACAGCTACAAATGCAGATTTAGTCAGAGCAATCTCTTTCTAAGAGGTTTCTAGCTTGTTTTCAGTAAAAGGCTCCAAGAAGACACCGTTGTTGCATACTTGTAATTATGTTCCCCACCCTCAGACACATGAATCCCAATTACACTAGAGTTTAAAGGCCAGAACCAGAAATTTCACAAACATCTTGTGTGTTGCTATGAAAAAATGATCAAATGTATCTGCATCCACTATAAAACACAACTCGAACAGCAGGAAACAGAATTATTGCCAGCACCAGACTTTTTTTTTTTTTTTTTTTTTTTTACCAGAGTTTTCATTTTTTAAAGTTTTAGGACTCAGTTTTTAAATATCAATTGTTTTTTATGCTGGTTTGGGTTCTTTTGTTTGTTTTTGTTTGTTTGTTTGGGTTTTTACTATTTGCAAACCAAGAACTGATATAGAACAGTTCGTGCCTTCCACAAAGAGCTCAAAAGGGAAAAAAAAAGTAGACTCACAGCTCTGTAAAGTGGGGTTTGTTCCCCCTGTGCTCGGGCACCTGCTCCTACCTGTACGCCAGGAAGGCCACCGGCCTCTGATGTCCGTGTTCGTCTGTCATCGACCCCACGCTGGGAGGCTCCACGATCACGTCATAGATAATTCCTGCGGGAAGGAAAGCAAGGGACCGGTTTGGAGCCGCAACAGCGAGAACGGCTCTGGCCTCGCAGGGACGCCCGGGGCTGGCCGAGGGTCGGACCCGGGAAAGGATCCGCCGCCCGGGGCCGGCAGGGGCCGAGGAGGAGCCGCTCCGTGAGCGGGGCCTCACCTCCGGTAATGAGAAAGTAGGACACGACCACCAGCGCGTACACGGTCATGGCCGAGGGCATGTGCACCCAGCCCGGCCGCTTCAGCTTGATGTTGGGGCACTCAAGCACGGCGAAGGGCAGGCGGTACAGCGTCTCCATGGCGGCGGCGGTGCGGTCCCGGGGGCAGCCGCGGCACCGCTGCTCCCTCCCTTTTTCCCTCTCTTCTTCCCTCCTTTTTCCCCTTCCCTCCCTGCCCGGCTCGTCCCGCCGCCGCCGGGTCCTCCGCGGCCGGACACGAAGGCGGAAGCGGAAATGGGCTGCCGCGTCCTGACAGGGGAAAAAATAGACAAATTTTTAAAACCACAGACTGAACAAAGCACTCAAAATCCAGGCCCCGACGGAACGGACAGGTATAAAAAAAAATTTGGTTTTTTTTCTGCCTAAAAACTTTGGAAAGGCTGCTCGTCCGCCGCTGGATGTTCTATCTGTCTTACTCACCTGCCAGGACCCAGCAGATCTGACGTGTCTGTGCCGGGTAACGGCTCGGGGGTGTGGGCGTGGCCTGGGGCGTGGCCAGTGCGCGGGCCCCGCCCCCGGGCCGGGCAGCCACGTGTGCGCCTGGCGGGTCCCGGCGCCGGGGATGGGGCTGGGAACACCTGTGTTCCCGGTGGGAACACTGCCGCTCGGCACCGCAGAACACAGCAAGATGCATAGTAGCCTCACCCCAGTGCCTGTGTTTGCAGGAGAGTGGGGCTGGGATGCCCCTCGCCCGCACCTTGGGACGTGGTGGATGTGGTGCCCATCCTGAGCCGCAGCCAGAAGAGACCCCGGCAGCTGCACAACGAGACCAGGGGGAGAAGGCACAGTCCAGCAGTAGCTGCTGAGAGCACCCGGGTTACCTGCACATTACAGACCAGCTCACACACTCCTGCAAGCATGCAAACACCTCATCAGTCGAGGCCAGCCGCACCAGGCAGCACTTAGAGGAGGAACTCCCTATTTTCCATGGAAGCTTATTTAGTTCCTCTTGCTTCATGGAAGGCGCAGAGGAGAGCCTTTAATTCCAGGTTACAGGAGTGCACTTAAAAGCACGTGCTCCAGCTGAACTCGCCCCACCTCACCAAGCCATCCAGCCCTACTTCCCACTGCACAGCCCTGCCCTAAATGACCGCCCCCATATCCGCATGGCACCATCTGCTGAAACTGTTAAAAAAAAAATAAGAGCCTTCTTACCATTTCACTGACATTTTGCCTAACGACTGCTTTTATTTCAGCTGACAGTGGCAATACCACTTCTAGCTCAGAGCTGCTGTCTCTCAGCACAATCATGTAATATATAATTTGCTATTTTCAGCGTTGGCCTTTCTGTTTGAGAAAATCTCCCTCCCTCTGTGCCTTTCGACAGACATTTATGACACTTACCCTCATTATTCCAAAAGTGTTCTCCCTCCATCTTGCCTCCTTTCCAAAAGCCTGAAGAAAAACTCTAATCTCACAGCTTTTAAAACAAAAAAATAGCACCTCTAGGGCAAGTTAGACATGCCTGCCCTACTTGCTGCTTCTTGCGTTAAAACTTTTTCCAGCACGTTGAAGTACTGAAGTTTGTACTAGCACTGGAAGACAACTAATAAAATTTTAATCTCATAAACTAGCTATAGTAACAGCACCTAAAAATGTCAGGGTACTGATGTTAGTCTTACATAAACCTCCTTTAATTAGCTGCAGCCTTTGCAACAAGTTTTAGCATAACCTGAGCTGAGGAAAAACCCTTCTTAACTTAAACCTACAACATTTATTTTGAGAACACTGACAGAATCATTTTAACAACTTGGGACACTGTGAAGAAATTACTGGAGAGGTACAGCTCCTTTCACCATGCACGGTGTTAAGTCAGATTCCCTGGATTGCAGCCATCTAGTGTTGTCACACCCAGGTGAGTTGGCAGGCACCTTACCCAAAGCACCAGCTTGCTGCCAACCAAAGGGCAGGGCTTTTCACCAGCTCTGTCTTCTGTCCTCTGTAGGGCCTGACGGGCCTCCCTCCTTGTTCTCATAGTGGAGCTCACCACTTTTTGAAAAAATTATTGGTAAGAATAGATAGATTCTAGTCATATACTAAAAGTAGTTAAAAATTAGGAGCTGGGAGTGAGGAATACCACTGCACCCACAGGTAACACAAGAATTACCCTGAGGGTCTTAAAACACTCCTGCATAGCATTAAAGGCACATTTAGAGCTCTCTACAAAACTGAAGCCATTTTCACTTTTTACATTACCGTCCTTGGTGATAAACCATCAGAATTTTGGTTCAAGTTTCAATACCAGAGGCCTAAATTGCTCCTCTAAAACCTAATCTGGAAGTCATTAAAAGTCTGCCTTAGCTGCACCCTGGAGCTCTGCTGGTATCATACCTATGAGTGCTGACCCAGGAAGCACCCAAAGAACAGGATACAGCAACTGCAGCTTTCTTCCAGGAGATCCAGATATAGCAGTGTGCAATTGTCTGGTAGGTACAGCAATGGTTTTGAGAAGTCAGACTATTCCCTCCACTTCGGATTCAAGTAATGGTAAATGTATCACATACAATTAAAACAAAAAAAAAAATCTACCTTAGGCCTACACTAGCTCTCCTCTTCTTCACCCGACAGTCTTCCTTCTTTTGACGGTATGCTTTTCCTTTTCAGAGTCCAAACTTTCTTCTGAGCCAAGTTCTCTGATGACTTCATATACAGCTGTTGCCATAAAGAAAGAAAACCTGCGCAGCTCAAAGTTACTCCAGTCCCTCCACAGGACTGTGAGGTGGAGCTGGGAGTCCTGTTTAACCAGACCTCCTTCCACCTGCTTGATTTCCCTGTAGCACACAGCACAGAACAGAGCATCCCGACTTACGGGTTTTGTTGCACCAAACCCCAGTTCTGCATTCTATAAGCCGTGAGAAGCAGCTCCTACCAGCTTTGAACAGAACACGGAATGACAGGACACAAGAGAAGTGGAGCTTTCATTTATTGGGATGAAACTACAAATAGATTCATTTTGACTTCTGGCTCTGTGCTTGTGCCTTCAGTACTTTCACAACGATCTTCTGCTCCTCAATAAGAAAAGCTCGTTTGATCCTGGAAAAGAAAAACAACTTGAGAACATGTATCTACCTACTTCAGTAAAAACACAAAAATAACACAAGTTACAATTAATTTTGCAGTCTCCAACATCCATTGCACATGTGGTGCTAGTTCCACAATTACACAAAAAGGGAAACTGTCCATGTTCTTGCCAGCAGCAAGAGACAGGGACAGTGACACTGGATGAATGTAGTGGTTTGGGGAAGAAAGCCTACTGTGCCTATAAATTTAGGGTGAGTGGCTTGTAGGTAAGCAAGGTAATACACAATGGCTGAACACTAGGAAAGTTACTGCCTTCAAAAGCAAAAAGCAGAACTTCTAACCAGCAAATTAATTTAGCTGCACTTAAAGTCATCATTGGTGTGACCAGTCATGGTCAGCCCTCTTCCACAGAATTGTGGGAAACTTAGGTGCATCCAGTTATCAAAAACAGGAACAGTTCCCGTCAGGATTAAAGCTCCTTTGCACATCAACAGGGAAAAGCCTAGCAGGTCAAGTCATGCCCAAATACAACTATTTCTGGAACTAATGCAGGGCCAGCACGCAGATGGACAGACCTGTGCAAAAGTACTCACCTATCAATGGCCTATCTGGTGGTTTTGAGTTAAAACACAAATACACCATACACACTTTTCTACCTTTGAACATTTAAGTACCTTCCCTATGCATTGGGTATATATGGTTACTTTTGCAGTACACAAAAACCTAACAAAGATGCCTTAGGAGGAGCAGGAGAAAACCCAACCATTACAGGGAAGGAGCTGTGTTTTTTTGTTTAGGCAGACTAAGACGTACTCATGCATTAAAAAATACCTATCAATCTTATTAAGTGTTTAGAAAAATACTCGGGGGGAAAAAAAAACGGTTTTCAACTCAGTGAAGTTATGCTTTGGATCTGCAGCTGTAACAACTCATCTTCAGTGGCATCTAATGCAATTTAAGAACTCCCACGTGCCAAAAAAAACCAACCAATCAACCAACCAAATAAAAAAAATCACCACCCAAAAAACCCAACAAAAAAACAAAACCAAAAAACCCCACTGTCACTAGACTGCTGATTACCAGAGACCTGCTTTGGTTGCCATTCACAGGGATGACATAATTTGACATCATTTTTGGTCATTTTTTTGCCAAGGAAGTATAGGATGTACAGCTGTTACACAATAAAACTGAATTTAGTGAGGTCCAGCAAAGGCCATCTTAAAGCTTAATCACATAAAGATGCTTAACACGCAGCCAAATAATATCTCTGAATCCCAAAACACTACCAAGAAGCGAGAAATTCAACTAAACTTGCACTAGTAACTTTGTGTAAGACAAAAGAATAGGACAGCAGATGAGAGAAGTCTATGGAGGCTCAACACAAAACAAAAATGCAGCATGAGCAGACTTTTAGCACCCAAGTAACCGTGCAGTATAAGATCACAAAGAACATGAGGTCTCTACAAAGGAGCTCCATATACAGTAGGTAGCTCAGTCCAAGGGACAGGGACAGACGCTGCTGCCCACAAGCTCCAAGCTGACTCTCTCCATTTCACTACACCAGTGTCAGACAAGTCTTCAAAGTTTCAGCCCACATTACAAAAATGCAGAGAGATGTAAAATTCTCACACGGAGTAACCTCAAGAGTGAAGTTCCCTTTCCGTAAGCTTACCTGTCACGGACACACTTGGCACACATGGAACCACCATAGGCCCTGCTAACATGCTTCTTCGTTTTGGACAGCCTCATGAGAACTTTGGGGCGCACAGCACGGACCTACAGAGAGCAAAAACGGGAAGTGTGTTGTAAGGCAGTGATTTTGGGTAACAGCCATATAAAAAACAATATCCCTTTCACAGTTTTTAAAGAAAGGCAGCAACACCTGAAGTTGACTTGATATTCAAGATGCTAAGAAGTGACTGAAGTCATAGCTCACTGTACGTGCCACGTTCAGCACTCCCAAGCTGGTCTTTTCATTCTACCATAGGGTTTCACCAACAGGTTTGTAAAAAAAATTGTTTACAATAAGAGACTGTTTTCTCAAGGGTTCTCAAGGAACTGCTTTAAGACTGACATAACTCAAGCATTTTTAAGTGTTTAAAGCAATGATGTTACATCAAGAAATCATTTGGAAGAAAAGTATCAGACTAAAAACATTCACTCCTCTAAGTTTTCTAAAGCTCGGCTTACCCTTTTTTTTCTGCAAGTCTAACAGGTCCAATAGAGATTTTTAAATCTGCTACAGAATCACCTCGTCCGGCTTTAAAAATTTCCACGTTATGAAACAAGAGGGTTCAAATGTAACAGTAATGCAAGTCTCAAACATTAAAAAGCAGTTACTGTTCGAGTTTCCAAAGCTCATTTTACCAGTTAAATCTTGCAACATTTGGAGAAGAATATACTAAAGAAGTTATTACAACTAGAACTCGCCAATAAACAGGTACATCACATTACTTGAAATGGCTCTTTATACTGAAAAAACATTGCTATGGAGAAACACCCTTGTGCCAGCCAGGCTCATACTCACACCACGAAGCCTTCCTGGGCATATCCCACAGGCTGACTTGGGTGCCTTCCCCACTTTCTTGGTGTAAAGGTAAACAATCCTGTTCCCGGGTGTTCGGGACCTGAGCGTGGCAGAAAGAAACACACAGTTGAATGCAACAACTAAAACTCAACTGTCACCATCTTAAAACGTCAGTTTTCTTAGAAACCATCTTACTTACAGTCTGGTCTTGTTGGAAGCTGTGTTGTAGGACAGCCTACGGCGGTAGGTCAGGCGCTGGACCATTTTTTACACCTGAGGGAGCCAAAAACAAAGCGGTGCTAGTTTAAGGTTTGGGTGTCTGCATGGAAGTTCACATATCACAGTACCACCCGTGCTGTACCACTGTCCAGGGCGTAAATCGGCGGCTGTAAGTTCTGTATTAATAAAATTCGAGCATTTTCCCATCAATAACAGTCCATACAACTAAAAAAAACCAGCAAAACAAGTGACAGCAGGTACAACATGGTTTGCAACGAGGATCCATTTGAACTAACTCGAAGGCTGCTCAATATCCTGGTCTTGCCCGTGTGATGTCGTGCTCCCCTAAGGAACTGCTTTAAGCTTGAGCAGCTACGTATTTTATAATCAACATAAACCTCGGATTTTATAATCCTATTGCTCCAACCTGAACTTGCCAATAAAAAGTCGTATTGTATTACCTGAAAAGGCTCTTTGCACTGAAAAAACACTGCAGTAGATGAAAACCCTTACCACGCAGGCTCATATTTACACCACGCACATAGTTTTATAATAAGCTACTTATTTTATAGCCAACACAAGCTGCACCGACAAGGCCGTAAACTGAGCAGTAGCAAGCCGTATAATTTCCTATCTTATCCGAGAGCAAGCTGTGTTAGCCGCAGCCCAGGCACAGACCGCTCAATGAGGCCCGGGAGACGCGGGCGCTGCCCGGCAGGCCCGGCCTCTCCCATCGGGCAGCTCTGCCGCACCGCCAGCCCAAGCGCGGGAGGCAGCGGCGCCGCCGCTCCCTGTGCACAGCCCCGCGGTGCCCCTAGCCCCCCGGCCGCCCGCCCTGCCGCGGATGGGGGTGGATGGGCGAGCGCAGCACCCAGGCCCCTTCACCATACCTGGAACTGCCAGACCCGGAAGAGGAAGCAAGAGCGCGCGGAGTAACAGTGAAAAGGCTGCGAGCTGAAACCCGGAAGTAATAGCGTCCCCCAGGCCGCAGTGGCGTGAGGGCGCCGCCATGTTGTACGGAGGGAAGGGGCAAGGGTGGAGCCATGTTGTACGGACGGGGTGGGGCGGGGCACTGAGAGGGGCGGGGACTGTGCGGGTCGCGGTGAAGCACGAAAGAGCCCGCTCTGCTGCAGACGCTCCACCTTTCCCAGGGTTCCTCTGCAGCTGCTTACCCGCCTCCTGCCCCCCCCCCCAAAAAAAAAAAAAAAGTTTTGTGCTCCGTTATGGTATTTACGTACCTATGGTCCCAGAAACAATTTCTCAGGCTGCCGTTCCAAGCTCTGAACGACAGGTCATTCACACGTGGTTTTCTCATGCCAAACCAGCAGGTAACACGCCTGGAAGCTGTGTGTGTCTTAAACAAAAGTTCCGCAGGGAAAAAAGCTGGTCTCCCCTCCCTGAAGACTGCGCCCCTTCTCGTGCCGGAATCCCTTGGATGCCGTGCCTGGAGCACCACAGGGCTGTCCTTGCCGTGTTCCGTTCCCCTCCCGGACTCTGCACCAGGCTGACAGGCTGATCCTCAAACTGAGTCCTGTGGAGAGCAACACAGCACCCACATTTGTCTGACACTCCCTCGCTGTGCCAGCACTGCACTGGGAGTCCTGGGTGGAAAATTCTTGTGCCTGTTTACCAAGACGCGCACCCACTGTCTCGTGTGCTCCGGGGCAGGTGCTCAAGCAGGAGCAAGAAGATATAAAACTTTCTCTGTTGGTCAGGTCAAAGGTCCGCCTGACTCAAAATACCATTTCCAAGCCACAGGTACCTAATAAAAAACAGAGGGGAAACGGGACACAGTTGATCTTTCTCTTGAAATACACCCTCCCTGCATTCAGCTGTCAGCATCGTACAAATTTCCTGATTTGGGTCAAATTTTCTGACTGCTGAGATTAGCTCAGTTGGTTAGAGCATGGTGCTAAGAACACCAAGGTTTGCGGGCTTGACCCCTGTAGGGGCCATTAACTTAAGAGTTGGACTCAGCGATCCTCGTGGGTCCCTCACAACTCAGAATATTCTGTGAAATCTATTTAGCCTCTGGTAGATCCCTGGGAAAAGAAAAGATCTTCATACGGCATCCGCTGCCATCGTTAGCGGCTTCAGCTTTGCTTTTGGAGAGTAGCGGGTGCTCAGAAAGCTTTGATGTGTCCTCCTGGCCTTATTTATGGGTTTGAAACTCACAGTTCATTGTACCATCGCCTTCCTGTTTTCAATCTATAATTATTATTTTGGTTCATTATTGACTCTTTTTAAGTGCAAATTATGGACACCAGGATTTTTTTTTTCTTATTCATGAAAGAAGAGAAAATATGTATGAACTAGATTTTAGGGTATATTTAAAATAGGAGCACATTTCAGACGACAAGTAAATTTCAGAGCAATTAGAGTATTTAGGATGAACTTTCTAGGCCCAGAACCCTGAGGGGAATAGGAAAGCCAATTAAATTAGATTAAATAATCATGCCTAAATATGAAAGTGTAACAGAATCCAATTGTTAAAGAACAACACTATTAAATTATGATAGAATAGTTTAGATATTGTCAATGCAACAGGTAACTATTCTATTATTGAACAACAGTATCGATATTTTTTTGAACTTACCCTACTTTGGCCTTTTAACTCAACTGGTGTAAATTTTAGAAGCTGTCAATTAAATCCCAGCAGTTCTCTTCTGCTGATGGCCTGGCCTAGCTCTTCAAGCATTTTCAGTTTGTTTTATTAGAGGAACAGGCAAATGGCTCTCCACAGCATCTAGAAATGTTAGCTTATTGACAACTGTTTTATCTCATGTGGGTATAAGATTTGAAGCACAAGCTCACTAAGCCCATCTTGTACAGATTAGTTGTAGTCAAGTGATTCTCTCATGTTCTTTGCTACTCCTACCTCTTTACAGGACCAAATCATATTTTTTGGGAGCAGTTATTTTCCACGTCCAACATGCCTCATTAAATCTTTATGCATTTTCTTCTTTCCTTGAATACAACAAAGGGGATGGGTTAGCAAATGCACAACCCAACAATGGGGAAAAGTAAGAGTGGCAGCCTATAAAACCTATTTTTCCCCTTCTAGGATGTCGGTGGAAGCTAAGGGCCTGAGGATGTGGACCTTTCTTCTTAAAAAAACTAGAGGTTGGTTTCTGGGGTCTGCTTACTTATTGGCAGTGCAAAACTGGAAACCTCCTTTCCACCAGATATGATCAGGAAGATAATCATCTCTGATGGCAGTTTGGTAATATACTGCATTTTGCACCAGCCAGCAAGTTGTCACCATATTCTGGTTTTTGCACCAGAAGAATGTTTTTTTTCACAGGTTAAGACTAATTCTTGCTATGCTGGCCATCCTTGCTTTCTTTTCCACATGGTTCTCTCCTTTTCTCTCTTTTCTCTGGAAGCCCCTATCTATGTGCACAACCATTTCCTTGGTCACATGGAAAGTTCCAACACAGTAAGAGTGAGAGTTCCAAAATGCATAAGGCTCGATAAGCCTGGCCTGATCCCCTCTTCTTTCTTCGGCCTTCTGTGCCACTTCCAGATTCCTGGAGGATTCCAGGAATCTACTAGACCTCAGGAGGACTCCACTGCTCCATTAACTTCTCTTCATGGATCTTTCTAGGGCTTTTCTCCACCATAAGCTTCTCATTTAAAAAATGAGAGATGTTTTCACTCATATTCGCTTGCTATTGTACCAAGCTAGACTGGCAAATTGTAAGAGTCATGGGAAGGAAAGCGAGCCTGTGTCCAAGCACGTACTAGGTACTGCAGAGAGGGGAAAAAAGTGATAGCTGGAGGATATGCTGTTCCTGTTAATCTACAGTCATAATGCCCTTTTTGGGAGCAGCATGTACTTTAGAAATGTCTCACTGAAATCAGAATCCAACCTCTGGTGCTGCTTGGGTACAACCATCAGGATTAGGTCTGCATATGCGGAAAGGAAACAAGAAACTTTGGAAAAATACTAGCAACTGCTGGAAAGGAGAGAAAGAAGAGGTCCTATGGTCCACTGTCTCTCCAGAGCTAATTTTTTTCTTCAAATTCCCATTCCCTGTGCTTATTAACTATGTGGCATGTGTCATAATCTGATTATATTAATTTCTATCAACATAACCTTCCACAACACAGACCTGTGCAAATTACGTTATGAGAAACTGTAGTTCATTTCCATTTCAGTGGAGCTTGTTGAACAAGCAAAATTATTTTGTAGCAAAGGGAAAAACAATTTAGTGGAATGCACTCCTAGCATAGGAAGTACATAATATCGTATTTGGGTTGAAACTTTTTCTGTCAGAAATGTCATAACCCTGTAAGAAAGAGAATTAAAATCCCGTTATTTTAATTTACATCTAGCCATGAGATAAGTAAAGTTATCATTGAAATTCTAATTAAATAGGATGATTGACTAAGGTAGGACATCAAAGAAGAGAAGTGAATATGATAAGTCAAAGTCTTATTAATTAGTCCGCGTGGAAGAAATTCCAGGGACGTCAAGCTGAGGCTGCTGCAAGGAGAAAAAAAGCAGACAAGAAAATGTGTGTTTCTTTGAAGTTAGGAACTGAGATAGTGATGGAGGTAATTGTGTCTGACTGGATCCAGTAATGAAGAGCCGTAAATCAGACCCAGGAATCGGAGGAAAGATTCTAGTAACGAATGTGGCTGCCCCCCTGCTGCGAAGAAACAGAATGCAGAGCTGACTAATTGACCCAGTCTATCTCCCAGTAGCTCTCTGTTATTATTTATTAATTTTTAATTTCTGAATTATTTACGTTCTGGGAAATTATTTTTGACAGCCTGTTAGGCGTGCCAAAGTTAATGGAGGATGAAAGAACCGGTACTAGAATTAGCAGGGATGTAGTCACAGGCTACTGAATTTAATGATTTTGGAAGGGAAAATTGATTTCACACAGCGTGTCACTTTATACTACTTTAGGGATACACCAGCTATTTGATTAATTGAGGAATAACCAACTCAAAGTATATTTGAAGTGTAAATGAATCACAGTGCTCAGCTGTTTATTTTTCCCCTTTTCTGATGAGAACACTGAGTTTGCTTAAAGTTGCTGATTAAAACCAATACAGGTAGGCCCCATACTCACACCTGCTTATTTTCTCCTGCCTTAAAAAAAAAAAAAAAAATTAAAAAATTCACCATCTGGATG